GGAGGTATCTCAACTGAATATAATCAAGGATCATCTTGAAAAGGAAATTAAACAGCAACAGAAGATGATTGAAGATCAAAGGCAGAGGAAGATTCAACTACTTCAATCTTTACAGGAGCAGAAGATGGAAATTGATGAGTTTAAGTACCAGCATGAGCAAATGAATGTCACACACACCCAGCTGTTTTTAGAGAAAAATGAGAAAATTAAGAATTTGCAAAAAGCAGTCGAACAAATCAAAACCCAGTTGCGTGATAAACGACAGGACATTCAAATGGAGAATCCTGATATTTTACAAGAAACAAGAGTTCAGGGCCTNATTTCATCCCAGCTCTCTTCTGAAAAAGTTGCAACAATTAGAACTCTCCAGGAAAATAATCTCAGATTCTCTGATTTGAGTGCTTCCACCTCGGAGCTAGAAGGAAGAGAACATGAACAAGCCGATTCAGAAATTAAGCAGCTAAAGGAGGAAAAAGATGTCTTACAGAGGTTACTTAAAGAAAAAGACCTTTTAATCAAAGCCAAAAGTGACCAATTACTGTTTTCAAATGAAAGTTTCACTAACAAAGTGAATGAAAATGAACTTTTGAGGCAGGCAGTAACAAACCTGAAGGAGAGAATATTAATTTTAGAAATGGACATTTGTAAACTAAAATGGGAAAATGAAAAAATAGTAGAAACATCCAGGGTAAAGGAAGCAGAATATCAAGCATTACAGGAGACTAATATGAAGACTTCTATGATGCTGCGAGAGAAAGAGTTTGAGTGCCATTCGATGAAGGAGAAGGCTCTTGCTCTTGAGCAAATACTGGAAGAAAACGAACGGGTATGTTCTGGTTGGAGTATTGTAGAGGGAAGTTGGGGGTGGAGGAGACTTCTTTGTTTCAGTTACTTTATTGATATCATATTTGAAGAGGACAACGAATTTGTTCATTTAGAAATATTCAAGATACAGTCATGTGTTGCTAAACAGTGGGGATGCACTCTGAGAAACATCATTAGGCAACTTCGTTGTTGTGCGAACGTCAGAGAGTGTACTTACACAGACCTAGGTGGTATAGCCTACTACACACCCAGGCTGTATGGTATAGCCTATTGCTCTGACTACTGTCGGATACGTGATCAGTCATGGACCAAAATGTTTTTATGGGGTACGTGACTATAGTTGATTTGAGGCATCTGGAAGTTTCTCCCTCAAATTATTACATATTTCCAAGTACTTTTAGTAGTAGGTTAATTTTTTACAGCCTGCTAAGTAGGAAAAAAGAGTATAGTAGCAATTAATACCCTTAGAAAATAGAAATTTGTTACAAGAGAAATTTTAAAGTCACTTAAAAACATTTTAGGCTTATTTCAATAGCTGCTAGTAGTGGTTAACATCTTAGGGATTCTTATATGTAAAGGAAAGCCCTGTGAAATGCTACGTCTTTAAACATTAGCTACAGTAAGAAATGCGCTTTACATTGTGACATAGCAGCACGTGTCCGTGTGTGTGTAAAACCGAAAAGTTTCAAGAACCAGAAATTACCCTTACTACATGTGATACACTATTAAAAAAAACACACCCCAAAACAGTGCTGCATAAACCATTGAACTGATTTTTAAGAATCAATTAGTCATAACCTGGAATTTGAAAGGTGTTAGCCAAGTGTAGTAGTTTTCACATAGTAAACTCAGTAAATACTGTAATCCCAGCTCTGTCACACATGTGACTTTTGGTATGTTTTGACCTTATTGGTTTTCTTATTTAACCATCATATGGAGGGTCATAACAGTTATATGGAAAGTGTCCATAGCTTTTCATAGAATTAAATTTTTATATGCATTTCATTTTAATAAGAATTATTGAAGATCTCCTGTTACATCATACTATGATAGGTGCTGTGTAGGGCTTGTTTGGTAGTGCCTTTCTACTCTAATTTCTATACTTTTACTAGTAGAAATTTGGAAAAGAGTTGATAGGCAGAACAGTGGAGTATTCAGCAAGTGCTTCTTGAGCATTTACATGTTGCCAGGCGCAAGATAAACTTCTTTTGTCAATTAAGTTCTCTCTTAGAGTCTTGGATTAAAGTTGTGAAGACTTCATTTCTTCTTCTTGGCCATATATCTGATTAAATAGGTACACTCATGGTCAATGTCGAGGTGTTCTCGTCCTTCAGAGATAACTTTTTAGCCTTAGTGGTACTGGTCTATAATTGGTGTGAAAAAGACTCTTAGAGGGTCCAGCTTCCTATTACTAACCAAAATTAGCTACAGTGTCTTATGGCTGTAAGACTACAACAGAAGGAATGTAGAACAAGTCTTTTGTTTTATTATTTTTTTTTCTTTTGCAGTTTTGCATTTTGTACAATTTAGTTCTACTTCATTGACATTTACACATCTAAAGTGTGCAGATTTTGTTCGGGCTCTCCTACCTTTTAGGAATCTTCCCTAAGTCAAGTATTTCTAAAGTATTGTATTCCTTGAGGGTAATTCATATGAAATATTCTATCCCAGGGCTGTTCCAAAAGTTCATGGAAATGTCAATATTTTCTTTTAATTCTGTTTTGTCACAAAATTTTTCAAGTACGCTCATGTAATTTGAGTACCTTTAATAGTACATTCTGAGTATTATAAATTACATATTTTGGGGTGAGAGGGGATGTTCTCAGCAGGAGATCTTCAAGTCTATTTAATTTCTCAAGCATTTGCTCTTTCTCTGTAATATGAAAAAGGAAACTAATTGAAAAACTATTTGGAAAATATTGGCCATCCTATTTGGGAGGGGATGTTGAAGTAAAAGGAACAGATAGTTTTATGTTTTGGTTCTATGATTTATCCTGAGGGAAACATTATATATTCTCAAAGAAATGAAAGTTTTCATAATAACTTAAAATAATACTTAACTATATGTAGATTCATTTGATATGCACATTTACAACAGAGAAAAGACCTGGCTGTAAACAGCCTGACACTTTTCTGTGTTTGTTAGAATTCCAGGTATCATTTGACATTCATGACTCTACTTTTGCAATGAAGGGTTATCTTTTTTCTTCTGTTGTTAATATATTGTACTTGTATGGAATAAATTTTTATTATTGTCCAGCAAGATATCATTCCAAAGTTGCTTTCATTACGTTGTTGCCAAAATATTCTTTTAAAATAGACTGTACATATGAAATAATTTCCTTTTTATCTTTTTCTAGCTGCTGACACTTACTTTTCTTGAACAACAGTTGTGGGT